ATACTATTTCAAATACTATAACCAATTTGTATAACCAAATCAAGCTGTTAAATAGTATAATTATTTATAGTATATTGGATTTACTTTTAGTCTTTTCAACTCTAATAGGTCTAATACCAAATGAACTTATTGATATTATTGTAATTTTGGCATCTAAAAAAGTAGTCACAATACTCATTATTATATTATTACTTTATCTCAATTAACAAATCTATATAAAATCTGAATTTTATATTGTATCTCAAGATTTACAACTCAATCACCTGAATATAATATACTTTTAAATGCTGCCTTACTTTTATTACACTTTTTTCTACTCAATTCTATTAGTTTAAAAATAAACTTTTAGTATATCTAATAAATTAAATATTAAACTAATCTTTTATATATAATTACTAACACTCAAATTTAGATAAGTCTTGGCTATTCTGATTGGTTTAGATCACAGATAAATTAGTTTGAGTTTCTATTCTTTTTATATATTTTAAAAGCAAAATTGAATTTTATATAAAATCTTAATTAAAAATTTAATAAAAATAAAGGTATAATTTCATTATTAATATTAAAAAAAATAATAATAATAGTTAGAATTTAGTAAAATTAGTATAGTTGGAAACAGAAAGTTTAGTATACTTAGTTTACTTAAAAGTAAAAGAGTATATAATTAAATATAAATTGAGAAAAGTTAAAAAGAATATAAATAAAGATAATTTTATTAAAATATGAAAGTTTGTTATATTAAAAGATTATAAATAAATAAATTTATATTGTTTTTAAAACAGAAAGTTACAAAAAAAAATTTAATTAAAAGTTTAAAGACTATTAGTTTAATAAAATATTGAGAAAGATTAAATTGTTTGTTAGAGAAAAGTTGGTTTTAGTAATCTATAAAAAGAATTAAATGATTGATTATTATGTTATTTTGTTATTATGTTGATTTGAGTATAATAATGTTATTATTTATTTTGTTAAAAATAAATTATATTATACATTTTTGTTACTAGATAGAATGTTGAAATTAAACAATATATCTTTTTTTATTTTAAGTATCTTTATAAATAATATTTAAATTAATATAATATTGTTATTGTTGTCTAATAGAATATTTGTAATTACTGTTTATTGTATTTAATATTTTAATTTTAAAATTGAAAAGTACTGTTAGTCTTGTTAACTTTAAACTATTTTCTTTGTTAATAATATTGAACTTTTATTTATTTCTTTTTTGTATCTTTGAAATTGGTATATTTTCAAGTTATATTTTGTAAAAATTATTTTTTTACTTAAAATAAATTTTTTTGCTTAAGTATTCTTCTATGTTGTTTATTGTTTGTTTATTTTTTATTTTTTGTTTCTGCCAATTAGGTTTTTGAGATCCACAAAAGAATTTTTAATTACTTTTGTTATATAAATTACAATTTAAAAAAAAATAAATTTCATGCAATTTTTACAAATTATACATAAAGTACAAAAGTTTAACTAATAGTATTACACTATTTGATTTTGAATGTATAATCTAAATTGTAACTTATAAATTGCTAATTATATAAAATTTAATTTACCAATATTATACAAAATTATACAAATTATATAAATTACTGTAATTTTAATATTCCTAAGCATTATATTTACATTTGTTTACTATTAATATGCAATTGATATCTAAAATTGCATCTTATAATAGCAATTTACTAAAATTTTTATTATCAAAATTGATTATTTATAAAATATTATAAAATATGTAAACATTTTATCTAACATACTAGGAAGTTTTATACAATTAAAATTACTTATACTATTGTGAATTAACTCCAAGCCTCATGTATAGGATAATATTTGGGTGATGCTCATTTCACCAACATCAACTACCTGGTTAAAAACATGATCTGTTCAATAGAACTAATCAGTCAGTACATTAAAAACCGTGGTTTAATATAAATTCTGACCACTAGTCTAAGGGCTTGCAAATTACCTGTTTTTGTGGCCCAAGCCCGCACTTAGTTTTGAATTTTTTTGTCGGCTCGGCCCGCATATATATAAATTTTTTCTTCAGGTTGGCCCGACCCGGTCCAGCACGCAAATTTTATTATTAAATTTTGAAAATTTTGGCCGCAGTTGTAAAATTTTGCTTCAGGCCCGGCCCGGGCTGCGGGACCTAATGCAAGCCTCTACACTAGTCAGACTATTTAACGTCCCTAAATTCTGATCATTTTCGTTAGGGTCAGTTAGAATTAATATTAGAGCAATGTTTTTTAAATGAGTTGTCGGTGAAATAAACTTATCAGCGAATTGATTGTCGGCAAAATTGGTTCTAATAATAAAAATAATTTCGGCAGTACGACAATTTTGGCAAGCGAAAAAATTTCACTAACCATTTTGAGGCATCATGAATAATCACCAAAACTTAGACACCCATATATAGTTATTTATATAATTATTATACATCGATCTGATTTACTAATTAATACAAGATTTTTGGCCAGTGAGTATGAAGTTATTTACTAAACAAGTTAGTCATCATACCATTTTGTCGGTGAGCTTTAGGATTAGGGAAATTCACAATTAAATATAGAGTTCATTTAACAAGTTTATAGCATTGGTCTTTAAATAAAGATCATTTATTAATTGATGTACTTTTCACAGTGTTTCTCTGACTACATTTTTCAGAAAATCAATTTTATTTACTAGACATTCTATCTTAATGATAAATAAATGTCTTACATTTATTTTTTCAATTACAATTCCATAAGATAAAAGTTGTCGAGTTAATCAATTTATTCAATTAGCATTACCTTATAGCAGATTTTTGATATATCGATATATACCTTAAACTCATCTATTTTCGATTACAATTCCAAATAAAGCCGTTCATTCTTTCTGCTAGAGCCATCCGTATCATATAAGCCAATCTTTGATAACAAACTTAATCTTTCTTGATATTAGTTCCATTTTGGTAAAAAAAATAATAATCAGATATTCAATCAACATCACCCATTTTTGATAATAACTAAACGGATCCGTGCTATCTTGTTTCACCGATAATCAATTCACCGACATGTGTATTTCATCGACAAGTTTTTTAAAAAATTGCACTGACATTAACTTTAATTCTAACCTGGCCCTAACAACAATGACCAAAATTATTTTTTCGGTGAAATGACCGTCGGTAAAATAAACTTGTCGGTGAAATTGACTGTTAGTGAAATGAGTTTATTCTAGTATTATATTTGCGACAAGCATCGCTCATTTAGTAGAAGATTGTTTTAAATGTTTGATGGTCATTTTTTTAAATCAAAAATATATTACCAGTATGTATAAGTGCGCATTTTAGAAGTGTCCTATAACTAATTTACTGGGTTATGTGATTAACTGACGAAATCCACCAATTACTCGGGTGAAACAGGAGCGACCGTCCAAATTCGTAAATGTTTCCGATATGGTTACACAGTTGATAAATAATTTTTTTTATACATTTTACAGTACTTCTTTTAAAAACTCCTAACTTTCTATGTATATTTAACGGATGAATTGATGTTTTCTCTTCGCCTTATAACATATTCTTTGAATCTCCGTGAATCTCACAATTTTTTTTTGTGTTCTGATTGACAATCGCGTGTAATTATATCGGATTCATTTACGAATTTGATCCTGTTCTCGGGCGACCCGTAGATTTATAAGGGAAATCATTAATGAAAATCGATTATCCGGGTAACTAGTTTATACTTTATGAAGTAAATACTTTTTGAACGTAACGTTTTACTAATACAATTATAATCTATAGCTTTAGAAAGGTGTCAACGTTCACCTGCAAAAGAATCTCAAACCTGATAAACTTCATTTAAAATTAAAGATGTCACAGATCAGGTGGTTTCTGATCGTTCTGAACCTATCAACATACAAATTTATTATTAATGCGTTCAATGTACTACATTGGACACCCCAATGTTACGTTATTGATGTTAAATTATTGTTCGTTGATTGGGTCACAATCACCTGATCGCGAATTTTTTCTACCATCATTATGTTACCTGAATGGCCACTATCTGCTACAAATACAATCATATAACTGAAAAATGATAACTAACGCTGAGCTTGTTATTTCAAATGTCAAACTAACAACAACAAAACTTATCATAAAGCCATTTGTTTTAACATTGGCCCGGCAGATCAGAAATTTAAAAATCCTTTGTTAAATAATTTTTCAGATGATATTTGTCAAAATGAAAATCTTAGGATCAAACTTTTTTATTTGATGGTACTTCCATGCGATATGGTAACTTTACAAAAAAAGGTAAAAAATTTCAAGCATACCAAAAACGAAATTGATATGTCAAAAGGCTAATGTAGAAAATGGCATTTTTACCTTTGAAACATATTTAAACAAGTATTATTACACTATCATAATTCTATTTTATTGAAATTCTTATTCCTATATAAAATTGTAAAAGAAAGGAAATAAGTTTGCATCATCAAATGATAGTTATAACCGGCATGGTTTGGGATCTCCACTTTAACCAAGTTATTTTTTATTTTAATAACAAAATGAATTCATTTTTGTGATAGATACACACTTATGCGTGCGTGCGTTATAAACAAAACAACTAAATATATGTTCTAGATGCAAACGACCAGCCATGTGCATCGATCAATCAATGCTGTGAAATGTTTATTATATACACCATACCGATACCCGTTAACCAAAGTCCGAAACTTTATAAAAAATCCCGAATCCGGAATCCGAAATCCGAAATCTAGTACTATACAAAACTATATTGTCTCAAATATATAACTTTTGTTAATATATTTTTTTAATCGAGGTTTCGAGTTTTGGTTAATGATATGGTGTAGTTGGATTGTTTCTACAAGAGTATTATGTCCGTTTTTCATTTATATCGTCAAGTTGAAATAAAAGTGATTGTATGTTTCGGAAAAAATTATTAGAGAATCATTGAAACGAAATAAATCATTGATAATTATATACTAAAAATTTTTTATATTCTTTAATTTTGAGAATCTCTTAAATTAAATGTGGCATCTGGTCGTTGAATAGTTTCATGTTCAACATTCTCTGAAGTAATTTCTGGTTCCGTGTAAGCATGATAGAAGTCATTAGGATAATCCAAAAATGCACTTGACCTCCGAGCCGGCTCCATGAAGTCTTGTGCATTCGACGTATTACGATAATTACTAATATTACCTTCACCTAAATCTATATTTATTAATTGATCAATTCGTACAATCGAACTCCTGTTAGAAGTCATTGCAATTGTTGGTGATTGAATTTCTGTGTTACTATCGAATGAGCTTGTTCTACCAGGTTCATTTTCATCCATAGAATAATATCCTTTGTTAGATAAATTATATCGCTTTTTGAAAACTGTTTTCCTTAATACACAGTATGATACAAGGAGCGCTATCAGTACGGTTATTACAATTCCAATAATTATTGGTATATGAAAAGGTGATTTTGGATCAAAAGGGTCCGTTATTTTATTTGCGTCTGTTGACGAACTTGTATCTTCTGCTGAATTTTTTGTTCCAATTGTAGATTGTGTATCCGTTAGGTTGGAATAAGGTGTGCTTGTAGGATTTGATTCTATTGAAATGGAAGGTTTATTGTCTGCACTCGTCAGATTTGAATGCGATGAGCTTGTAAGAGTTGGTTTTATTGAAGGCGTCAGATTTGAACTTATAGTTGTATGTGGAGGTATGTTCTCGTCAACAGAAGTACTATTATTTTCATTTTTATGATCATTCATGTCCTTATTTTTGTTATTTGTACTTTTGTCTCTATTATAGTCTTTGTAACTGTTTCTATAATTGCCTCCATCATCGCCTCGGTCATGGTCATAGTATATATCACAACTTCTGTAAATAATGCATAGAATAGCTCTAAAGCCCATGTCTAATTCTCGCGGTAATTTGGCAGATAGCGGATAAAATTTCAAGAACGAAACCTGGCCTTTTTGTAAGAAAGTGGGTAAGGGTGAACGAACAATATTATTCTTGAATCCGCAAAAGAATGTCAAATCGCGATAGTAGCAATAGGACTTGCATTTCAAAATATATATCCCTGAGTTTTGGCCTAAATGTTTGGTATGACGAATGTATAATATTCTGTATAATACTTCAAAACTAACCGTTATAAGTAAAAAAAAGATCTCCAAATATATTTTATAAGAAAATGTTTCACGAATCATCGATACCAATAGTTATTAGTTTCACAATCTTGACACTCTTTGTCTGATGTCTTGTTTATTTCTCTATAACTGTATAAGCATAATAGTTGCATTATCGAACCGCGAGCATGTTAATATAGTAATTATCGGAAAAGAAATTCAATTGCTGAAAATTCGATTGGTTTAGCTACAGCATCATTTGACATATTGTAAGATTTTATCCAATAAATTGTAGGAATTAAAAAAAAAAGCGTCCTAGGTTGATCTTAACATAGTATAGGTAGGTATTCTTGTAATCTGCATCTTTATAAATTGCTAATATATTAAAGAGCGCATCATAAATAAGAGCTATTTATAAAAAAAATGGATAGTTCTATAACCCTTAATCGGAGATTTGTGTGATACCCGTTGTGTGAAGGTCACATAAACGTACCATGAACCTGGAAAAATTTTTCCAAAATTATAAAATTTCCGTATCCATTATTTTCCGGGTTCCAGTCGTTATCTTCAAAAAAATAAAATATCAAAATGAAGATAACGAATCTTTTTTACTAATAGTACCAATATCGACTACGTACTTTATCAACTATTTTAAAAAAATCTATAGTTTTTTTTATTCTTAGCAAAAAAATTTTATTAAAAGACAATTAAAATAGTTGCTGGTACTGCATACAGTACCCCCCTAAAAATTATATAAATGAGTGCCATCAAGGGGAAACCTGAAAATATAGGTTATTAAAATTAGTGATGATAATAACCTGTACTTTCCGGACTCGGGGTTTCCCTTGGCAGCACTCCCTCTTGATTAAGAACCGAGTATAGTGAACTCTCTTTAAGTGCAAACTGTCGGGACCACTACACTTGAAGAACATTGCACTTAAAAATTCACTCCGATCGATAACAACATTTTATTGGCTAATAAAAGTATTTTGGAAATTTGTAATTTAAGGAGTTTTGCGTTTAGGGAGGTTGATTGTATTATTCACTACCTATTTGGCTTAATTCTTGAAGAATATCCGTATAACTATATTTAATTTATTACTTTTATACGATATATAGTACCCGGTTTCTCACATAGTACCCGCGGGTATTATTCAATTTTAAAAATAAAGTTCTTTAATAGGACCCTGGGCACTGTATGCAGTGCTATGTGGTACTATTTACAATCTTATTACGTATAAAATTAGTAATGTTTTTCTATAATTATTTTACAACTTTATACGTATGACTATGCGGGATGATTGAAAAGTTGTTTTTAGATTAATAATTTAATTTGTAATTCATCTATAAGTGATAGAGTATTTATATAGTAAAAATTGGAACAAATTTAATATAAATATTAGAATCTAATTTTATTTATAGTCAACTTATTTTTTTTATTTTCTTTTTATTAAGATAGTTTTTTTAATTATAATAAAAGTTGTAGAATTAGATAAAGTTTTTCAAAATCAAATCAAATAAATATTGTATCAATTTGAATTTGATCAAATCAAATTTATTTTAATTTGAATTTAATTTGATCTTAACAACTTAGATTTAAATTTGATTTGAATTTAAATTTTTAGAAATTTCAAAATATTGTTGGTTAAAAAAAAATCTTAACTTACAAAAAATTGTATTAAGTTAATTATTAATTTTTTAGAAAAATTACTGCATTATATAAACTTCTATAATCAATAATCTATATAATAATTAATTTGCTCAAACTATGCTTCAACTAAATAATTATAAATTTTAGATTAATATTATTATATTTTATAAAAAACAAAAAGAAACTATAACTTTCTTGTTATAATAAATTTTTTTTTTAATATTAAGATGAGCACATATAACTCAAGAGATTATTAATAGTATTTGGCTTGTAATTGTTTATACAATAACTACAAGAGCAATTATAAAAAGAATATACAACTAGTTATATGTATAACTTTAGATATTGTTTAATTTAAGTAGCCTATCTAAAGATTCTACATTAGTTGCTATATTTAAAACCTGCTTGTAAATTTTCTATTTAAACATTTTAGTTCTTATATATATTCTTACTTTACCAATTGTATCTTAGTGCAAATATGTTATGATTACTAATTTATATTTAACTTTGTACTAAATATATTAAAGTCTTTTATATTTCATATTTATAGTTAATCTAATACTGCTTTGGCTTAAACCAGTACTTGCAATTAGAGTTAATCATTAAACTACTATATTTTTGTAAAGTTTACTTAAACCCTAGTACCTATTTTTCTAATATCATTTTTATTATTTTTTATTAACTGTTACTTAGAAATAATAATATTTTCTAAATTATTAATCTAAATATTCTAATATGATATATTTATATATTTTTTTCTTTAGTAATTTTAGTAATCTAATTAGTTATATATTTTTTATATATATTGTTATTTAGTTTATCTGACTATTTCTTTAGAGATGTTTTATAAACCTTTATTAGTTCAACAGCATTGTTGAAAGTTTATATTATCTTTTTATTTATAATTTTCAAATAAATTTCTAACTTCTTAGTTTTTTTTTTTTTATTTTTTTTTTAAGATGCCTTTTTTGGTCTTTTGACTTTTTATTAATGATTTTTTTGATAATATGATTTTATGAACTAGTACAGAAGAGTATACAATTGGCTACACATGTAACTTTTCTATATTACTTATTTAAGAAGTCTGCCTGAAGATTTTTTATCAATTGATATACTTAACATCTCTGTTTGAGTATTCTACTTTAACTCTTTGAATCTATAACCTGTGTTAATATCACTGAGTTATACTCAAATGCTCAGATCATCATCTCAATCTTAGGACTAATTTATTTACAAAGTAAACTCTTAGAGTCTTTTGTACTTATTTTTATAACTAACCTAGATATCACTATAGCAAAACTAACACTTATAGTCAGAGCTAACTATTAAACCACTATGCTCTTGTAGAGTTCACACAGACCTTAACATCTATTTTACAATATATTCAAAATACTTTAGTATATTTCTGCTGATTTATTAGACTTTTAATTCAAATAGCTTAGTAGAATTATGACTAGTCCGATAGTATATTAGATCAGCCTAATATTCTTTTTCTCTGATTCATTCTGATAACCTAGTTGGTAGTACTCTCTATCTAGAAATTTTTACCTATTCAGCTACTTTAATCTTAATATTCATTTTATAAAATTAGACTTTACAGTAGGGCTATTAAAAATTCAGCTACTTCTTTACTTAGGTTTTTCTAAATAGACTTCTTGTTACTTAATTTTAACAGATTTATACAACTATAAGAACTTATCTAGTGTTTGTATTACCTGATTTGTTGGTTTGTATTCCTTTATATAACAAATTATACAAATATTCTATAACTTGCCAGTCATGTTAATATGACTACAATTATAGGTATTCTAATCTAATTGTTAGTAACAGTTGCTATAATACAAATATTATATAGATGATTATTCAAATTTTTGCTATTGATGAAATTTGAACACCTAACCTACTACTTGAAGAGTTGACAACCTGACTACTTTACTAGATTACTATATCTAACTTCTTAGTTTTTTGGTTTTTTATAACTAGTGGTCTTATTATTTATTTGTACTAAAGTCTTAAACAATACTGATTTTTTATATTTCTCTCTATATATAATATTATACTTTATATAAATTTTTGTGCTCTTATAAATGCAGCTGCCATCTTGCTAAGAGATACACTCTTAGTAGTTGGTAAGAAAAATGATGTAAGTAAACAGACAATAAAGCCTATTTATATGAAAGACTAAGTTAATGATGATCAGACTTAATGTATAGAGCAGATTATAGCAACCTTCACAGTTGTGCAAGCCAAGCTTCAAATAATGAATAACTTTGTAAAAAACAACTCAATATCTCAAGTTCCTATTTTCAACATTCTACCTTTGCAAGAACAAACATATGCTATAATAAATTTCTATTATTATATAATCTATCTACTATATACTACTATATAACATTTGATGAATTTCTATCTTATCTTCAAAAACATTCTTTTAAACATAGTTTTAAAATATCTATTAACCAAAACAAAACTAAACTACATATATATACTAACTTCTCAGAACCTATTCTTTATTAACATCATCTTATTTAATCTTTTTAATATAAACTTTACAAGCATTTACCTTTGTTAATAATACTAAACAGCACTTTATCCTACATATACCTACTTTCACTTGATCAACTTTTTCTTAATGACTCATCTTTAGCACTCTTATCTACTAATTTATTATCTATCTTTAATTCTAATCATATAGCCACATCTTCTAGCTCTTATTTTGACAATTACATCCAACCTGCTTCTTAAATATTAATAGCTAAAACACCTATATCTATTTTATACAAACTATTTTATTTGTTAATATATATATATAATATATGAAAATATAATAATAATTTAAAATAACAAACATAGGAGGATTATTGTTTATCTAATAATATTAATATTGCTAGCATTATAGAAACCAAAATCTTACAAAACAATATATATGATAAATTTTCAAGATCTTAACACTTTATCTATTATTAGTCATATACCAATAGTTGTAAAGCCAAAACAGTTATCATGATTCAAAAGCATCTTAAATCATATGTTCACAAAACACTTAATCTTTTTGAATATGTTATTGCAATTGATCTTTTCTTTAAGCATAACTTTAAATTTTGCATTATATTAGTTTATTTATCTTGTGATA